TATATGACATCCCATCTTATAAAACCTCAAAAAGCAAAAATCATTGTTTTTTCCTCTTGATCTCTCTGCTAAATGTCTCCCCTTTTCTTCATTTGTAATTCAATTCATAGTAGTAAGACTGTTAATATTTAAGCAGTCTTCTCCAGAGCCATGAATAATAACAACGACAACAACAACAACAACAACAACAATAATAATAATAGAATGGCAATGATTGCATACTAATAATTCTGTTCTCTATACATGATTTAGTTAATGCAAGTTACCCTGTAAGATGATGTTTTTTGTCTTATGCTGTTACTGTGTGTTGGACCTTTTTTCAGTATTTGATTCTCCCTTTTCACCAGTAAAAAAGTGTGAATCCAGTTACACTTCAAACCCCTGCATTACTATGGCTCTGGCATTGGGTGCTGCTGGACTGATTTTGGGTGGTTTGATAGGCAGTGGTGTCATGTGGAAATATACACGTAAGTCTCAACTTACTTATCTATAAAACTTCATATTTCACTTTAAAACAAGTATATTGATGACCATAAATTTTATGTAGTGGACATATTAAATGCTCTTGTAATAAAACCAAAACGTTTTTAAGTCGTTTATTTGTGGAATAAAATGCTGTCAGAGAAGATCTACAATACTGCAATATTATTTACAAGAAAATATTGCATAATTGTGCATTACATCTACTCACTGATATGTCTGGTTTTCACAGGTAATCCAAGGACACATCAACTGCTTCACACTGAGAAGAGTGCTGATGATTATAATGCTGCTGATGATGTACTGAAGAAACTAAAAAAGGAACTGGAGAACCAGAGAAAACAACTTGAGGATGAACTTGATGACGCAAAGGTGCAACTCCAGGAAAACAAAGAGCAGCTTCAGTTAGTGGAGATGAAACTAACACAAAAAGACACATCTGAAAAACCAGAGGCATTATTAATGGAAAAACAAAAACTTCTACACGATCAATGGACACTGGATGAGAAAAAGAAGAATTGTGAGAGAGAAATCCTGAAAAGAGAGGAGTTGCTGGAGCTAACAGAGGGGCCATCTTGCTAGAGTAGTCAAATCTAAAAGGCATCAGATCTCAAGAAGCTCTTTGCTCTGATAAATATCAGTGGGTATTATAATTGCCCATATGGAAAAGAAATAGTAAAAACTTATAAAAGACTTGCATAAGATGTGGCCTACTTCATATAGTAAATCATATAAGGCTTATGAAAGTGGCCACTTTCTCATTACTTTCATATATTGTTTTAGTAAGTACCCAAAACATTCAAGTTTCATTTATATGACTTTTCAAGGGATCTTATATCTGTTTTCACTCTTGTATGCTTTTCATACAAGTTTCACACAAAACAGATACAAACTTAAAGATTTATATATATCTTATATATATATATATGTTTTCCATATGGGTGGTTCCACTACACAATCATCCCTAGAGAGGTCAGATATTAACTATACTTACCAACCTTTAGGTGTAATAAAGCTGAAAAAGTTCATTTATCAATATGTAACCCAATTCCCTCCTCATCATCATCATCATCATTTATATAGCACTTTAAAAAAACACACACAAAAAAAACACATCAGGCAGACCAAAGTGCTGAACAATACAGAAACAAAGAAAAACAAAACATAGTATAAAATAATGAGGGATTTCAGTTTCCCGCTGAGTTAAAAGCCAGGGAATAAAAATAGGTTTTCAATCTGGACTTAAAGACCTGCACAGAAGACGCATGTCTAATATGAAGAGAAAGGTTGCTCCAAAGCATCGGAGCCGCAATTGAGAAAGCTCAATTTCCTCTGAGTTTCAGCCGCGACTTAGGGACTGACAACAGCAATTGATCAGCTGAACGGAGCGAGTGAGTAGGAACATGAGGCTTCAACAAATCAGATAAATAAACACCAATTTGAGTGTAACAAAGAAAAAAATATAGAGAGATATGGACATAATGGGAAAAAAAATGTTGAGTGCCATTTAATGTGCGTGTAAATATTCAAGATTGTTAAAGAAAATAAAGGAAACCACAAATTATGCTAATCACGTTTAAAAAAGTATTTGGGTTAAGTTCACATAACTGTTCATGTTCTTCACCATGTGTGTCTTTTTCCATGTATGCAAAAATTATGTGAAATAAAAATGGGACAATTACATTTAAACTTATTTAGGAGGTATCTTTTACACGTCCAAAAACCCCTTTTTGTTTTATTTATGTAGAAAATTCTTAAATAAAACATTTACTGGTACATTAGGGAAATGGCTTAAATAATACAGTACAGATAAATTCAAGAATTATGAAGCAATGAATACAATGCTTACTGTTAGTATAATCAATTTTCACTTGAATCTATGTGAAATGAAGCAATGTCAAAACCCAACAGTTTTTTTTATTTAACTAGAAGCAGCTTAATGAAATAAGAGAAAATACGCAGTGTGATTAAACCTTATATCTGCTTGAGTGTAAATAAATGCAAATGGAAACTTACACACACACACACACACATACAACTAAACATTAAAAAAAGTCTTTTGTTGTACTTTTGTTGTAACAAATAACAATTCATTCATTTCATCCATGTGGAAATTGAAGTGAAATCTAATAAAAAATGCTTCTAGCACTTTCCTTTTCCCCTTTCGGTCTATCTATTTTTTTTTTTTTTTCATTTGAAAGCGTTAAATATGGTATTATGTAAGAATAGTACATATATAGCACATTTCAGTGCAGATGTGATAGTTTAATGTAAGGTAAACTGTAGTTAAAAAAATAAAATGAACAAAACTAACAAACAAAAAATTCAAACTGAGCCCACATAGAGATTTTAGAACTTAATATGTGATATGTTTTTGCTAAAAGCCTGAATTCTGAATTCTAAAGTCCCTTTAAAAAGAGACTTTCTGATGTCAGAGCTCTACAAATATGTAAAAGTTCTAGCACAAGGGTGGGGAACTCCAGGCGTCAAGGGCAGGTTTTAGATATTTAGTACTTCAAGACATGTTGAGGAGGTGATTTAGCTATTTAAATCGGCTGTGTTGGATCAAGGACACATCTATAACTTGCAGGACACCGGCACTTGAGGCCTTGAGTTCCCCACCTCTGCTCTAGCAGATAGGATGGAAAAGTGTGACATATAATCTGACACACCTTTTTTGATAGGAGATGACAAGGAGCAAAGTACAAGACTTTTTCATTTCTTTCCTTCCACTTCTCAGCACTTCCGAGTGTTGTCAGTGCAAGTTATGTTTGCTTGTTTTAACAAAACAGTTATGCAAACTGTACAAAAAAAGTTTCAGTCTTTATTTTGATTTGATTGCATTTTATATTTTATACATTTTTATACTTGCAAAATATTTCTTATTTAACAACTTATTTTGCTTGTACAAATTTTGAAAAATACATAAATAAATCAACAAGTTTTTGTAGCCAAAACACTAAAGACTAAGTCTATTGTAATACAATACACAACCCTGAAATTTTCAGCTTGGGTGATATTTATATAACTTTACAATTATGTTTCATGTTTTATCATTTTAGTGATTTAATCTATCGTGCATTACAAGTTTCTGCCTGTGCTTACATTTCTTTTGGCTTTTTCCTCACAGAAATCTAAGTTGCAACATTGTCTTTGTACCTCCAGTGGAAATAAAAACTGAAGTGCACATTTGGAGCCTTTGAACTTGTTTGAGCAATAATAGCTTTTTTTTAGGGCTTTTCATATTGTTTGCCTGTGAGATGGCTTGTTTAGTGTTTAAGTATATAGAACATAGTAGTGATGTGCGATACCACTGATTTTCTTTCCGATCCGATATCAAGTAATATTCAGGGTGGTATCGACGATACTGATCCGATACCGATACTTTGTACAAAAAACTTATTTTATTTATTGTATCTCAAATTATAGCATCATAATTATTACAGGACATCAGATTACTTGTTCTTACCACTTAATAATGCAGAATTCATCATATAGAAATTAAAAAACTGAAGTTGTGCCTATTTGAACACGTTGCCTGCCTGCAGCACGTCTATCTGGCTCTAGCAGCACCTGTCCGTCTCCTCCTCTTCAGTTCACCTCAACATACACTCGTCATATTCTGTGATATGATTTACTCTGAGGTGTTTGACAAGGTTAGTGATGTTGCCACAACCATACATGCCAACCCTCCCGATTTTTCCGGGAGAATACCAAATTTCAGTGCCCCTCCTGAAAATCTCCCGGAGCCACCATTCTCCAGAATTTCTCCTGATTTTCCACCTGGACAACAAAATTGAAAAACCATATCGCAGAATTCATAGTGTGGCCCAGCCAATTCCAGTTTCCAACAATGGCGGCAGCTACTTAGTTTTAATATTACTCTTATTTTGTCCTGAGTCTGAGGACTCTGTGTTTTGTGTTTCTTTATATTCTTCTATATTCTTGTTTATTCTGCCTTGTCTTTTGTTTAGGTTTACTATGCGTTAGTGTGTTTGTTTCATGCCTACCTGTGTTCCCTCTGTCTGTCCATGGTGTTATTGTGTCTGCTCATGAGTCTGCCTGTCAAGTTCAGTGTCCCGTCTGGTTCTCTGTGTCTGTTAGTTTCCTGTTTTATTCTGAAAGTTCATGTCTCATGTCAGTGTGTTCAGTTTTACCTCTCCCCTGTCTCGTTAGCCTAATTTCTCCCAGCTGTGTCTCCCTCCTGTGGCCCATTCCCTGATTAATCCCTGTGTATTTAAGCCCTGTGTTTTCCTGTGCTCTCTGCTGCATCGTCTGTGTTACTCCGTGTCAGTCTTCACTACTCTGTGTAACCCGGTGTTCATTCTGCATCTCTCTGCCATCCTTCTCTGTGCATTTTTTCCCTCCTGCCGTGAGTGTTTGGTTTCTGGTTAGTTCTTTAGTTTTCCCCAGTTTAGGTTTGTTAACTCCCCGCTCTGCTCGTCCTGTTTTTGTCACTTCTGTAAATAAACACTCACTCGCACCC